GCGGCACAGGGGGGGCTTTGGGGGGTCATGTCTTGGGGGTCCCCCGACACCGGCCCAATTCCTGCCTGAAAGAGGAGCCGGAGGGAGCCCTCCCCGCTGCTTGGGGGGGGTGCCAAGTGCTTTCTCCTGTCCCACAGGACCCTGCCACCCCCCGGGTCAGCCCAGCCCACTCCCCTCCGGAGAACGGCATAGACAAAGCCCGTGGGCTGAAGAAGGGGGATGCTCCGAACAGCCCGGCCTCGGTCGCCTCCTCCAGCAGCACTCCCTCCTCCAAGACTAAAGACCTGGGCCACGTACGTCCTTCGCTCTGCCAGGGGCCGGGGGGGTCAGGCCGTGCTGGGTCTGGGGGCTTGTCGAGCTGGGGCTGCAGGTGCCGGTTGCTGAACCTCATCCTTTCTGTTTTTTCATCCCTTTCCATCCAGAACGACAAATCCTCGACGCCCGGGCTCAAGTCGAACACTCCGACGCCGAGGAACGATGCTCCCACCCCGGGGACCAGCAGCACCCCGGGGCTGCGGCCGATGCCCGGCAAACCCACCGGCATGGACCCCCTGGGTGGGTACCAGTCCCCTGGTGTCACCTCGGGGCTGCTGTCCCCAGCACAGCTCCAGCCCATGCCATCCTCGGGGGGCATTCCAGGTTTATCGGGGACCTAATCCAGCTCGGGGCAGGGGTGCTGGCAGCCCGGGGGGTCCCTGTGCCAGGGATGGGGTGAGGAGGGGGAGATCCAGCCACTGCATCTTCTCTGGGCTGAGGGGGGCTGGATGCTTGAACACTCCGACACTGAGGAATGATGCTCCCACCCCAGGGACCAGCAGCACCCCGGGGCTGTGGCCAATGCCTGGCAAACCAACTGGCATGGACCCCCTGGGTGGTACCAGTCCCCTGGTGTCACCTCGACACTGCTGTCCCCAGCACAGCTCCAGTCTGTGCCACCCTCTGGGGGCATAGCATCTCTGTGGGGGGGTGTGGCTGAGCCTCATCCTTTCTGTTTTTTCACCCCTTTCCATCCAGAACGACAAATCCTCGACGCCCGGGCTCAAGTCGAACACTCCGACGCCGAGGAACGATGCTCCCACCCCGGGGACCAGCAGCACCCCGGGGCTGTTGCCAGTGACTGGCAAACCGTCTTCTCTGGGCGGAGGGGGGCTGGATGCTCGAACACTCTGACGCTGAGGAATGATGCTCCCACCCCGGGGACCAGCAGCACCCCGGGGCTGCGGCCGATGCCCGGCAAACCCACCGGCATGGACCCCCTGGGTGGGTACCAGTCCCCTGGTGTCACCTCGGGGCTGCTGTCCCCAGCACAGCTCCGGTCTATGCCCTCCACTGGGGGCACAGCACCTTTGTTGGGGGGTTTCAGGTTTATTGGGGACCTAATCCAGCTCAGGACAGGGGTGCTGGCTGCTCAGAGGGGTTCCCCGTGCCAGGGATGGGGTGAGGAGGGGGAGATCCAGCCATGGCATCTTCTCTGGGCGGAGGGGGGCTGGATGCTCGAACACTCTGACGCTGAGGAATGATGCTCCCACCCCGGGGACCAGCAGCACCCCGGGGCTGTTGCCAGTGACTGGCAAACCGACTGGCATGGACCCCCTGGGTGGGTACCAGTCCCCTGGTGTCATCTCGGGGCTGCTGTCCCCAGCACAGCTCCGGTCTATGCCCTCCACTGGGGGCACAGCACCTTTGTGGGGGGGTTTCAGGTTTATTTGGGACCTAATCCAGCTCAGGACAGGGGTGCTGGCTGCTCAGGGGGGTTCCCCGTGCCAGAGATGGGGTGAGGGAGGTCCAGCCATTGCCTCTTCCCTTCTGGGGTGAGCAAGGTGCTCAGAGGGGTTCCCCGTGCCAGGGATGGTGAGGAGGGAGGTCTAACCATTGCCTCTTCCCTTCTGGGGCGAGTGGGACTTTGGATGCTGGTGGTCTCCATCCCCTGACGGTGTCCCCTGCCCTCCCACAGCCTCAGCCCTGCGGACGCCCATCTCCATCGCGGGCTCCTACGCGGCTCCCTTTGCCATGATGGGGCACCACGAGATGAACGGGTCTCTCACCAGCCCCGGGGCCTACGCGGGGCTCCACAACATCCCCCCGCAGATGAGCGCCGCTGCCGCCGCCGCCGCCGCCTACGGCCGGTCGCCAATGGTGAGCTTTGGAGCTGTACGTAGCATTTTTAGCTCCTTTTCTGGCTCGGGGTGGGGTGTGGGGAGGGTCTGGAGGGGTGCTGGGGGCAGCCAGTGGGAGGGGGGGCTTCCCTGTGTTGGCTGTGAAATTGGGGCTCCTCATTGCATTTTGAATCGGGCACTGTTTAAAGATGCTGGGTGTGGAGATGCCTGCCCCATAGGGTGGGGTGGCACCACTTTGGGGTTTATTCCTCCCCCCCCCGCAGGTGGGAGGTACCCACTGTGCAGTCTTAACTCTTGCTAAACATTCAATCGAAGGCTTTAAGGCAAAATCCAGGGAAATCAAGAAGCAAAACACTGCTCTTAATGCAGAGATTGGGGGTTCCTGGGGTGCTAGGCTGCTCCTGTCCCTGGGGGCTTGGGAACAGCATGGGGAGGGTGAGAATGTCCCATGGTGGTCCCTGCAGACCAGAAGCCTTTGAGCTGATTCCCCAGTTCTTCCCATTCTGGCAGGGAAAAAATAACCATTAGCTATGGAGCAGCAAGGGAAAAGGAAGGAATTTTTCACAGGGAGAGTGGTCGGGCATTGGAACAGGCTGCCCGGGGAGGGGGTGGAGTCCCCATCCCTGGATGTGTTGAAGGGATGTTTAGATGGGGTACTGAGGGAGATGGGGTAGGGGAGGACTTTGTAGAGTAGGGGAGATGGTTGGACTCCATGATCCCAAGGGTCTCTTCTAACCTGAGTGATTCTATGTAAAGGGGGAGTCACTGAGTGTCCCCCACAACCTGGTGGGGCTCGGGGCTGGGGTGTGGGGAGGTGTTTGCTGGTGTGCCCAGCTCCTGCCCGGCCTCACCCACGTCTCTGTCTGTCTCTTGGCAGGTTGGTTTTGACCCGCACCCACCGTCGAGCCTCTCCTTGAATATCTCCAGGGAAGGGGCCTCAACCACCTCCCTGGGCAACCTGTTCCAGTGCTCCACCACCCTCACAGTGAAGAACCCTCTGCTCATCTCTTGTTTGCCCTTCCCTGGCAGAGCCTACTCCTTCCACGTCAGCGCCGACGGGCAGATGCAGCCGGTCCCTTTCCCCCACGACGCCCTGGCGGGTCCCGGCATCCCACGGCATGCGCGGCAGATCAACACGCTGAGCCACGGCGAGGTGGTGTGCGCCGTCACCATCAGCAACCCCACCAGGCACGTCTACACCGGGGGCAAGGGCTGCGTCAAGATCTGGGATATCAGCCAGCCCGGCAGCAAGAGCCCCATCTCCCAGCTGGATTGCCTGGTAAGGGGGCTGGGGGGGGCTTCCTTCCTCCTGCAGGACCTGGAGCATCCCTCAAGCCACAGCAGGTCGCTCCTGGTCCCCAAGTGAGGGGGCTGGAAAACAAATCGTCCCAGCTGAGGGAGTTGGGGCTGTTTAGTGTGAGGAAGAGGAGGCTGAGGGGAGACCTCATCACTCTCTACAACTACGTGAAAGGACACTGTAGAGAGGTTGGTGCTGGTCTCTTCTCACAGGTAATTAGTGACAGAACGAGAGGGAACGGCTTCAAGCTCCAACAGGGGAGGTTTAGACTGAACATTAGGAAGGAATTTTTCACAGAGAGAGTGGTCGGGCATTGGAACAGGCTGCCCAGGGAGGGGGTGGAGTCCCCATCCCTGGCTGTGTTTAAGGGCCGTTTAGATGGGGTTCTGAGGGACATGGTGTAGGGGAGGACTTTGTAGAGTAGGGGAGATGGTTGGACTCGATGATCCCAAGGGTCTCTTCCAACCTCTATGATTCTAAGTGTGTCCCCCCATCTGTAATGCAGTGGATCATTCTCTGTCCCCACCACCACCCCCATAACGTGTGTGTCCCCTCCAGAACAGGGATAACTACATCCGCTCCTGCAAGCTGCTCCCCGACGGCCGCACGCTGATCGTGGGGGGGGAGGCCAGCACCCTCACCATCTGGGACCTGGCCTCCCCCACACCCCGCATCAAGGCTGAGCTCACCTCCTCCGCCCCCGCCTGCTACGCCCTGGCCATCAGCCCCGATGCCAAAGTCTGCTTCTCCTGCTGCAGCGACGGCAACATCGCCGTCTGGGACCTCCACAACCAGACGCTCGTCAGGTCAGACGGGGATGGGACCTCCTGGGGTTGCTCTTCTCTGTAATTGGGGTCTTCTCGGACCATGTTTTGGTGTGAGGGCCTTGGGGATGGTGACAAGATGGTGCAGTGCTAAGGGACATGGTGGGGTTTGGTCTGTGGGCGAGCCCAGTAGGCTGGTGCACCTTGGCCAAGGGTGCTCTCTAGGTCAATTTCACCAGAGAATCACAACCTCAATGATTCTATGACTCTAAGAACGCTGTCTCGTGAGGCTTGGTCTGTGGGCGAGCCCAGTAGGCTGGTGGACCTCTGCCAAGGATGGTCTCTAGGTAGATATCACCAGAGAATTGGTCCCTTCCAACTCCAGCCATTCTATGATTTCCAGGTGTAAGGTGTCCCTGCCCAGGGCATCGGACTGGAATGAGATGATCTTTAAGGTCCCTTCCAACTCGAGCCATTCAATGATTTCCAAGTGTGCTTGGTGCAAGGAAGCCTCATAAATGTAGCTGGGGCACCGAGATTTACTAGAATCATGAAATGGTTTGGGTTGGAAGGGACGTTGAAGACCAGCCAGTGCCACCCCCTGCCCTGGGCAGGGACACCTCCCACCAGCCCAGGTTGCTCCAAGCCCCCTCCAACCTGCCCTTGAACCCCTCCAGGGATGGGGCAGCCACAGCTTCTCTGGCCAACCTGGGCCAGGCTCTCACCACCCTCACACCAAACAAGTTCTTCCCCACAGCTCAGCTCCATCTCCCCTCTGTCAGTGCCAAACCCTTCCCCCTTGTCCTCCTGGCATTCCCCTGGAGGACTTACATTGTTTTTCTGTTGTTTGAAGGCAATTCCAAGGCCACACGGACGGTGCCAGCTGCATAGACATCTCGCACGACGGTACGAAGTTGTGGACGGGGGGGTTGGACAACACCGTGCGCTCCTGGGACCTGCGGGAAGGGCGGCAGCTCCAGCAGCACGACTTCACCTCCCAGGTAAGCACGGGGACCGAGGGGGGGACCCTGGGGTGGCCTCGTCGGGCAGCTCCTCCTGGAGACACCCTCTGCAGGGGCTGCTCCAAACGTGTGGAATTGTCCCCTCCAAACCCTGTGGTGCCTCTCCAGGGCTGGGCAACCACCTCCACCAGTGCCATGAAGCTGGGGTTGAGTGGTCAGGGTCTAGAATGGCACCTGCGTGGCTGAGGTGTCCCCTGTGTCCCAGCTGCTGACCCCGTGGCACTGGCGGTGGGGACTTTACTGGCTGGGGCCACCGGGTGATCTAAAAGGACCAGGCTCTGCCCTTGCCCACCTTTTGGGCTATTTCTCTAGTGGGAGGTGTCCCTGCCCATGGCAGGGGGGTTGGAACTCGATGATCTTTGAGGTCCCTTCCAACCCAAACCATTCTATGATTCTCTTCCAAATCACTGGCCTCACCTCAGTCAAATGGCCTCAAGTTTATGGCCTCAAGTTGCACCAGGGGAGGTTCAGGCTGGATATTAGGAAAAATTTTTTCACTGAAAGGGTTCTCAGCCCTTGGAATGGGCTGCCCAGGGAGGTGGTTGAGGCCCCATCCCTGGAGGTGTTCAAAAGACGGGTTGATGTAGTGCTGGGAGGTCTGGTTTAGTGATGATGCTCCTTGTTTGTTGTGTGGGTGTCTATTTTTGTCAGTGAGGTTGACGGTTGGACAAGATGATCTTTAAGGTCCCTTCCAACCTAGAAGATTCTGTGAAATGGCCAACGGGGATCAGTGTCTCTCCCCGGTGGGGAGTTGTTAGGGACATGGGGCTGGTGGGTAGGAACCCCTCCAGCCTGAGCACCCCCGTGTTGTGTGTGTCCCCCCCCTGCAGATCTTCTCGCTGGGGTACTGCCCGACGGGCGAGTGGCTGGCGGTGGGCATGGAGAGCAGCAACGTGGAGGTGCTGCACCACACCAAGCCCGACAAGTACCAGCTGCACCTCCACGAGAGCTGCGTCCTCTCCCTCAAATTCGCCTACTGCGGTAAGAGCCCCCCCTGACGTGTGGGGACCATGTGGGGACCACGGCTGGGAGGAGGGGACAGTGTTGGGGGGAGCTGAGCGTGGGGGCTTCCAGCAGGATCTGTCCCACGGATGGTGGAGATGGGGGCTATCCCCATAAAGGGCCCTGGTCCCCTACCCAGTGGTGGTGGCACCTCATGGGTGGTGAACCTGTACCTGCCCACGCTGGGACATGGGCCATCTGGAGAGGGTCTGGGGTGAGCATCTCTGGAAGAGCTCCAGGTTTTTGGATTTTCTGGGGGGGGAGAAGAAGTCTCCAGTTTTTTGTGGGGGAGAGAAGTCTCCAGTT